TTTTATATGTAAATTGATCGGAATGAGCTCACCTTTCCAACGCGCTTCTAATCGATTTGATCCGATCGATAGTTTTCGAATTATGGATGTGAACGTGAAGGTGATACTTCATAGGTGCGCAAAAATAACTACACGCAAAAACTTGCAGACTCGATTTTAACGATAGAGGTATGGTTCCTTGGGCAAATTTTCTTGGAATGACCCATAGAACACGGAAATCATAGGTATTTGGTCGAAAAAAAAATCGACCCGCCCTAGGGAATACAGATCTATTATATCAAGAACAGAACATGAAAAATTATTTCGTAAAAACGCAACATGAATGTAACATGAGCTGTAGTTGCTACAGTATTCTTATGACGCGCTTCAGTGTGGCGCAAATTCATGTTGCGTTTTTACGAAATAATTTTTCATGTTACGTTCTTTCGCATATTGCTTCTTTGTTATTATTTTTTCGATTGCTCTGTTCATGTTGCATTTTTCAATTTGATTTCATTCATTCATTTACCAAAGTGATTTTGATGTGCCTACTGAAGGTCTACTACAATTTCGCTGAAGACACCAAGTCATTATCTCTTACAAAACTCAATAAATGTCGTTAGGGTCTTGCATGGGCCCTACGGGAAGCTGTATTTGATTTGGATCAGTTGTTTGAATACCAAGCAAGTTGAGTTCGTCTATCTTCAGGGTGGTATTTCCATGAACTTAATTTAATCGATTTTTATTGACTCCATTTCGATAGAGCAACATTATGATGATTGAAAATTGGGTTCCGAACGAAGTGAGTTCATCATTGGCTAGACTTCACCTTGGACGAAGCCGTTCAGTTAAATACTTGCTAAATGACAGTGTCATCGACTATATCTACGAAAAGAAGCTGTATGGAACAAATGGATAACTTAAGTTAGATAATTATCTAAGATAAGTGCTGGATACCACAAATTGTGGTCCCAATGTACTTGTACAATGTACATTGTGCAGTCATTCGAAAATAAGATGCAACCGATGAAATGTGTCATTGTCATTGCCTTATGAAGAAATTACCAGTGCCGGTATTCTAACACCATTTCGAACACTTTGTTCGGAATTATTCCGAGCGATCAATTGTATTTTGGAAGGTGGTATCCAAACGTTATATATGGATTTGACTCTTTTTCATTGATTGAACGGTTGGTTTCCACCTTCCAAAATACAATTGATCGCTCGGAATAATTCCAAACAAATTGTTCGGAATGGTGTTAGAATACCGGCACAGATTCGAATTGAAAAGATTTTTAGAATATGCGAAAGCTAAAAAGATTCGATTAAAAAGATGCCCGTGAATCGCGATAAGATCAATAAGACCAATAAAACGTGTAAAGTGGAGCAAGTGGTTACAATTTTTGGCATTTATTTAGCAAATAAGACAATGTCCGCGAAATTTTTAAAGTGATCAAGTCATGCAATAAAATACCAATCTCGTTCCTATCACATGGATTTTATTATCCTCTCCCGTTTATTGGTCATATATTTGCACGTCATATTTTGTTAGCCGAAACTTGGATTTCAGAATTACTCTTGCATTTCTTCTCCATTGTCGACACTATTTCCAATGTCATCATCGTCACAATCCTCGGTCGGTGGTGTCGAAGATTGATCGTTCTCGCCTGGTGTCGATGATTGATCATTGGCGCCTGATTCATAGCTAAAAGTGGGTGATCGTTAATTTTATAATTTATTAGAGGCATAATATGGATGAGTTACTTTCAGTTTGACGTTCAAAATTCCAAATGAGCTTACTGAGTGGTAAAGTATTCGATGATGAATCGATACAAGTGAGCTTCGGCGCCATTTTCATTGTAATGGCATAGACATGTGAACAAATCACCTGAAATCAAGCAGAGCATTTATCATTTTCATTGGTTTTGGCAACAGCGAAAAGCGAGCACTCTTACCAATTTTCACTCCTCGCTTTACCAAGAATTCGTGAATCAATAGCAAGTCGCTTCGATCCTGATCGTCGCCGAATGTGTAATACACGAGTGGACGATCTGTGATGCAGCATGCCATCAACTGAAGTAGCGACTTGAGGTGTTTATCACCTCCGAAAATACCACAACCCCATTTGCCTGTGGCCACACCTGGAGCTCGACCCGGCATATCGTATTTAAAACCAATGAATGCCTGAAAATGTTATTAAAGTCATTCATTTGCGTAAGTTTCTCCCTTCGAATTGTAATTCTGCATAATTGATTGAGAATCGGCCCATGAAAATCCGAACAAACCTTATTCAATTCACGCTTTAGCATTTCCTCTTGATACTGTTGCGCTTTATTTGAAAATTGTTTGGCGTCAATCGCGACAATTGCACACCTTTTGCGTCGAAACAAATCATGTGGCGTTTCATCAAAGTAGTCGTCAGTCCATTCAAATGTCGACGCATAGCCTTTATAGTTGCTAAATCTTTCGCAGCCAGCAATAATCATGCATTCGTTGTCGCCCAAGCATTCAGTAAACAGTCGACTGCATATCAGTTCGGGATAAATCACGAACAAAATTTCTTCTTGAACGCAGCCACGGCCGAGCGTGCCACCGCCCACAAACTTATTCGCAAAGTCAACCTGCAATAGACCTTTACCACTATCCTCAATTTTACCATCCTTCGCCACGTGCAGTAGTGTGTCAAAAAACGTCTTCTCAATCTGACCCCATGGTGGAAGCTCTGCATCTGGTATTGAGCGCCGTGTGAATGTCACAACACCAGTGGGCACTATTTTCGGAAAAGCATTGAAAAGCATTATCGCTATTGTTAGCCAAAATAAATGCAATACAAACAAACGTATACTCACTCTGTGAACACACTCGTCGAAAGTAATTGTAGATACACCTTATCTTCTCGATCGCTTGATTACCATCGGCCGTAAACAATTCACTAAAATTTATTGACGAGTACCTTCGATACTCTCCACTACGGTATTCATTGCGGCACGGAAATGTACACAGAAAAGCGTTCGCCAATAAGCATGCGATTTGCTTTTGGCTCAACGATATCGATTGGTTTCGACCATGCTTCAACAGTGGAATAGCACATTTAATAATTTCAGGCAGCTGCAATGCCAGTTCGATCATCTTTGGCAATGTTTGATTGAAAAATGATTTGGATTCGTTCTCATCAAGTTTCTGCGCATCAATAAAAAACAAAGGAATAAGTTAGATTTCGCGATGAAATCGCTGAAATTTATAAATCACTTTGAAAAATGCGTGCAATGTTTTGAATCGCTGATGTTTAATGTCCTGGTTATACGTTAAGATGGCATATTCCAGATTTTCACTGCTAGAATGTTTCCTCTGCAGTGATGTTTTGATGCGGTCCCATTGTGAATTGGTCACGGTTTTTTGTCCCTGTAACATTAAATGATATCATTCTTGGGAATTATTGGGCGCTTATTTTGGATTAAATTTTGGGATTTGACCCAATTATACCATAGAAATGGGATAAAAACAGGGTGTCAGTTCATATTTGCAAAAATGGGTGAAACTATGGACAAATTCACCTCCAAAATAGGTGCAAGCTGTATATAATTTCTATATAATTCAACGTTGCATGCACTACAGAGCGGTCAATAGTTATAATTAATATTTGCGAAGGTATGTGTTAAGTAGGTTTACAAACGTTTCGACAAACACCACAAAAGAAGATAAAACAACGTTTTTTTTTATTGTAAGGTTAAATTAATTCTAATGGAAATAAATAACACAGAAAAAGATCTTCTATTTCTTCCCGTTGTTTTTCTCGGCGTTTTTAAACGTTTTCTTTAAACGTTGACAAAAAACGCGTTTTCAATTCCCAGTGTTAACTAGTGTGAGCAAAACAGGAAACACATTACCCAAAAATTGAGCGTATGGTACACATTGTTTTGGTCGCACGGCATCCGAACATGATCACCGTCCCATTTTGGTTTTCCGATGGATGGCTCTAACAATTTATTCGGATCGTGTGGAATTGGCAACTGAAAAAGAGCGATGTGGTTCTGAATGAGTGGAAATGTCCATTTATCGTCACCGCGATAAATTTCGTCCATTTTATTTCCACTGAATGAGCTCATTTTTAACAAATACACCAATTATTCCCAATGTTAGACGTAGATTCGTATGACTGTTTTTAGATTGCTGATCAAAAAAGTTGATAAATATTTGGAAAAAAAAAATCGAATTGATTGTCTAAATAGTGAAGGATGTCAAAGCTTCTTTAAAATCACATTCAAACTAACTTCCCAACACAGCGTTCAGGTTGTATTTATATGCGATGAACGATTGATTGAACACCATAACCAAAAGTATCCGCAGACGTTATCAGAATGTGCTGCAAACTTTAACGTTTCAATTGCAAAAGAAGACTTGAAACTTTTGATCTCCATCCATACAACAATGCGTTTTCACAAAATTTCATTTTGATAACCATAATTTACTTTTCACACGAGTTAATCTAATGACCGTTGCACTGTAATCGAATGCAGACGAGCATTGGCATTTGTTGTTTGCTATTGTTTTAGTCTTCCTCCGCTGGCATTCTTCTACATTCTGACTGCGCAATGCACAAATGAACAAGCACGGGTGCCCTGGCTGCGAGTCAATGTCCATTGTCCATTGACTTGGGAGCTCAACTGCCAGACGATAAAAGTGATTCATTGTGGAAATTTCCACAAACATTCATTTTGTTTGCTTTCAGATGGTTCTTTGTGCGCATCGAAAACCAAAATACAGCAATAATCTATCACATCGATGGCATATGCCTCCATATGGAGTCCAAAATTCGTTGTGAACTTTTTAAAGATGTGTCGGACTATCGAAGCATGATCAATATCAATATTTTGGCTCAGAGCAAAGTTTTGAAGAGCTTGTACCATATAAAGAACGTACTTAAACAGTTGCTTTTCAGTGCTTACTAAGTTCAGTGAAGACGCAAGATATTCGTAAAAGGGGCGACAACAAAACACTTCTCTTCTTCGTATCTTTTTTTTATTTCTACAAATTATAACAGGTTCACTTCATATATATATAATATATATATATTCTGATTCAAAGAAAATATCAAATGATTATTTAAATAAATGACAGATTCCTGTTTGTGCATAAAAACATTCTTGCATAGATATTACATATGCTAAACGTAGTTCTATGATCACGGACTAAAATATTTCATTACGATTGATCGTCATAGAAGATTTTGGCAACCCAGATAGAGGGTTTGTTTTTCTCGCTAGGCCAAGTCGAATTCACTAATAGTATCGGATATGAGGGCGGGTTTTGTTTTTGTTTTTGTTTTTGAAATATAATGTTCATCAGTTATTCTTTTGACCGTGAGTTCCTTATACTGTTATGAAAATACGCAACTTTTATCCGAAGAAAGTATAGTGATTCCATTTACATAGACAATTTTTTATCCAATTTTGTGAGAAAAACTTAGAAAAGTGCATTAAAAAAATGGAAAAATATGAATTAAAACCCCGATTCGAAAATAAAAATTTTTCATTTATTTTGACGGTCTTCAGTGGCCAAAACGTTTACAAGTAATAGCAATGATGGAAGCATTGCTTTCGAATTGCTCATACGAGAACAGCTCAAAAGTGTATGATTTGTTGAAGAATAGGATAAAAATGCGGTAATTTTTTGTTTGAATAGACGTAAATCTCATAAATAAATCAAAATAAGTAATTTGTCTTTTCACTTCAGCGCTGGCAATAAATCTGGCTTATGTCAGAGAAATTTAATATTTGTCAGACCGGTCAACTTGATATTGCATGATGAACAAAATCGACTGTGCTCACACACAAGGGATTCCCCGTACAATAATGAGTAAATTTGTTCCAATTACCAATCCTTCACACCACAATTACTCCAGTGGAGAGCAGATGTCAAACTTTCGCATGTATAAGTAAGTTTGACAATCGTTTTGGAGTGAACATGCATATGATTATTCCAGTTAGGAGTATATTTCTAATGCTCTGTATTGGAACAAATTTCCTCACTTTTGTACGGGGAATCCTTTGTGTACAGAGGCCTTTTTTTTACCTAAGAGCGAATTTGTGAAATGCACAAGGTTTGCAGTTGAATGAATGCAAATGTTGCTCGTCATTTAACGAAGAATAAGTTAAAATAAATTGGGTGTTTTTATAGCTTATGTCCGATTTTTGTCGGAAGTGCAAATTTGAACATTTCCATACGGTTTTAGTAAAAAAATTGCGTTGCTCTGTACATTTGAGACTCAAAACAAATCATCCTCGCACGATAATTGGAACTTTGATTGCTAGATAAAAGATCAATATTCCAATTATTTGCTGTTTTACTGAAAAAAAATTCGGCTTGCTCCGCTCGCAAGTTGACATGTATTTCACAATCTAATTGGAAAATACAAAGAGGCTCCACAGTTCTACTAAGAGCCAAAATGCCTTACGGAGGCATCCCCGTATTTTATAAATGTTTCCTTAGAGGGAGCGCACATTGGAAGTCTGCACAAAGGCGCAATAAAGGCGGAAAAAGCCGCTGACTGTGCCACACCTAGTTTTGTCAAATACCCGGGGACACTCACGCCCTTGTTATAAGATTGTGCTATTATTGTTAGTTGTGCTCCAGATTAACCCTTTGATGCACAATTTTTTGTTTTTGAATCATTTTGATATATGTTTTGTGCCACGATAAATAGAGAAAAACCTCATACTTAGATTTTTGAAAAATTGCGTATTTGTCGAGAAAATCGGAAAAGAGTCAAAAGTGTCAAATCACTATAAAAGCTTGAAAAAATTTAATTTCATAAAACTAATGATGCAGAAAGTTAAATTGATGTGTTTTGGTCCTACGAGTTCTGATTTGACAATTGAAAAGAATGTACAAACCCACAAGATAAGAGGAGGAAAAATGTGGAATTCTGCTATGATTTCGCATTTTTTTTACAGCAGTACATGAACAGAAAAAACTTTCCATTTAGCCAGCCGATTGTAGCCTGTAAAGTATAAAATGAAAGCTAGTTCATTTCCCTACATTTGTTTCCAAACAAGAATGTAAAAATATTCAGTGGTTTCATAGCTATAGCGTCTGGCGTATCTGGTTACTTTAGGAACCGAAAATCATTTTTACTAAATACTAATTTTCATTTCATTTTCGAACGATAGACAGACGATTCTTTCAACCGAAGACTTCATACACCGCACTATGGCTTCGAGAAGTTCGAGAGGTACCCAATTAAACCCGCGTGTACATCATTTGATGCAGATTCTGAGCGATCAACAACATATAGAAAGCCTAATGAATAGCTATCGCCAAACTTTAACACAACTGCCATTCGGTGGATCCGCAGCCAATCTATTGCAGCCATTAATAAGTAGTTTAGTCAATATTCAAATCAACAATTTAGCAACATCAAATCAACTTTGTAACAGTTTAGATCAATTTCTTTCGATAATTGAGTCAATAATCAACGGATTTTCGTTTTGCATTGATCCAAACTTGGGTACTTCCTTGATGGGAATGCTTAAAAATATGGTGCTTGCGAGAGTAATCCCTAGCTTATTTATTAGGTGCAATTATTCGCTCGACGAATTTTATCGCTCGTTAAGAACGAATATTGTTCCACTTGATAAACAATCGGAAAAATTCAAGTTGCTACGTCGAATTGTACGAGAAACATGTGGGCCTACGCATCGTATTAAACTTAATGTTCAGCAAATATACCAGCTAAAACGCGATGGAGAGGATGAACGTTTTCGAAAATACGGCCACCTGAGAGGTCGTCGGCTTCTTTGGCATGGCACCCGTTTAACAAACATTGTGAGCATTTTGATGAATGGCCTGGAAGTGGCACCACCTGGAGTAGTAAAAAATGGCTCCATGTTTGGCAATGGCATCTATTTTGCAGATGTTGTATCTAAATCAGCAGATTATTGCCGCGCTAAGGATTTTAATAACATTGGCCTCATGTTATTGTGCGAGGTGGCATTGGGAAAATCATTGGATAAAACCGACGCAGTCAGAATTAATAACATCCCGAATAATCAACACCAATCGATTCGCGCATTTGGCAAATATTTTCCACATCTTGAAACCAGAATTGATGGCGTCAAAATTAAGAGTGGAGTCATTCGTACACAGAGGGTATCGCGCCCTGATTCATCTCTTCTTTACAATGAATTCATTGTCTACGATTCAGCACAGGTTAAACTCAAATATCTGTTCCAAATTGAAATGAAAGACTATTAATTACGATTACTTGTTGTTACACTGCACAGTGCACACGACTTTTGAAATCTGGTGCGATCTTCATTCATTAAAATGCTTGAACTGAATGTTTGAATAAATAAAAGAAAAAAAAAACTATTTCAATCCAAACGCGTCGAGTATATTATTCTGTAGTCATTGCTTATTTAAATAAAAATTTTAAATTGAAAATATTTCTGAATTGAAATATGATTTTTCATTTATTTGCTGTTTTTTTTAAAATAAAGAACAATTGAATTTTTAATGAACCAAAGAAACCAAGAAAGAAACTCTTATTGAAAACTATTTCGTTTAGGATTAGGTATTTATGAGTATTTATGAGCGCACTACACATATTAATCTATTGTTGGTGATGTTTAATGTTTAAACTGTATGATGAATGTTAGGCAAATGAAGAAAATCCGCTTTTTGGTGAATTCTCTTGAAAATATCCTTTATTGAATTTAACTGAACAAGCGAATGAAATAACGTACTAAGATATACAAACTTCAAATATAAAAAGATACATACATGTACTGAAATTAGCTACAAGCACACTTCCAATCCAATGAACTTTCTCATTTACGCTTGGAATTTTCTTTTTAGACTCTTTTGCAAAAAAAATTAATTTTTGTCGGAAGCAGACTAATCCAGTGTCAAAAAATGCAAGAAAAAAGTAGTGAGACTCAATTTTCGAGTATTTTGTCCCCGGAATCCATCCAAATCGGCAATTACCAAAATGTTTGTACAGGTTGTAGCTACGCGACAGAAGGATGAATATTCAAATCTTGGGATATTTGCCAAAATTACTTCAGATAGGGCGATTTCAATTTTAGATTTTATGTAGTTTAATGCAGTGTTTTTACCATTTTTATGTAGGAACAATTTTTTTTGAGCAATCGGCTGTCAAAAAACGTATTTTCCACAAATCGAATATTTTTTCGAATGAAGAATGGTTCCAAATAATAATTGTAGATAAATTGTAGAATTCAAATCAATTGTCTGTTTTCGAATATGTCTGCCCATTCGTTCAATGCTCATCTTCACAAGTTATTTAAGTTTGATAACCATAATTTACTTTTCACACGAGTATATCCAATGACGGTCGCATTGTAATCGAATGCAGACGAGCATCGGCATTTGTTGTTTGCTATTGTTTTGGTCTACCTTTTGCTGGTATTCTTTTACATTCTGACTGCACAGTGTTCAATGCACATCGATAGTATTTGTGCGCAA